GTGTGTATGGTGTGTGTGTGTGTACAGTGTGTGTGTGTATGTGTGTGTGTGTGTGTGTGTGTGTGTGTGTGTGTGTACAGTGTGTGTGTACAGTGTGTGTGTGTGTGTGTGTGTGTACAGTGTGTGTGTGTGTGTGTGTGTACAGTGTGTGTGTGTGTGTCTGTGTACAGTGTGTGTACAGCGTGTGTGTGTGTGTGTGTGTGTGTGTGTACAGGTGTGTGTGTCTGTGTGTGTGTGTGTCTGTGTGTGGTGTGTGTGTGTGTGTGTGTGTGTGTCTGTGTGTGTGTGTGTGTGTGTGTCTGTGTGTGTGTGTGTGTGTGTGTGTGTGTCTGTGTGTGTGTGTGTGTCTGGAGGTGTGGGTGTGTCTGAGGTGTGTGTGTGTGGTATAAGCCACCCCTAAGTCTTGACCTTATCTCTAACAGTTCTCCGTCAGACGCCCAAGTTACATCCCATCAGGAATATCTGGTCAGGGCGGCCTAGTCTGGTTGTCTGGCGGGGCAGGAGGACTAAGGCCGTCTGGGGGCACTGTGAGGTGGGTCGTGGGCATGGATGGAGGGGTTTGGGGAAAGGCTAGAGGTGGGTTTGGGGGAAAGGCTAGAGGTGGGTTTGGGGAAAGGCTAGAGGTGGGTTTGGGGCATAGATGGAGGTGGGTTGGGGGAGGCTAGAGGTGGGTTTAAGGCAAGGGTAGAGGTGGGTTTGGGGCAGTAGTAATTGGTCAGGGCAATTATAGGTGGGTTGGAGTACGGTTACAGGTGGGTTAGCTCACTAGAGGTGGGTTGAAACAGTCCCGGAGGTGGGTTAGGGTACGGCTACAGACGAGTGGGTTTAGGCCTGCTAGCTAAAGCGTCCACAGTCTCTCTGTGTACGCAGCTAATAATCAGAGAAACACACGTACACACCAGCCAATGTTTAAAATGTGTATAGCATAAAACACTCACACGCATACATTCATTACAGACTTCCCTATACAATGTCGATTACAGGTCAGGTCAGGTCAGGTCAGGTTAGGTTAGAAGGTTAATGATACCAAACCATCCACTCATCCACCTGAATCATAACAAGATGACCACGAGATGAAGAGGCAGTGGATGACGGATGACTTGATACCTGTAGTAGGTCAAGAGGTGAGTGTTGATGAGGTTTGTACACCTGGACGATAATAATTAAGGTGAATTAGATCTTTTACCTGAGTATTAATTAACTGTCATCATGGTTACTATTTCAGTATATTCCTCGGTACAGTATGATCACTCCCCAAGCACCAACAATGTAATGGTCTCTGCGGTCTAGGTATATTAGATCTGTATACCTGCACAGTCTATGTACACTGTATACCTGCGGTGTTTATATACATGCTGAACTGTATACATGGTGAACCAATTGTAAACTTGTATGATGATTTTTATTGTATGTATGTATGTATGTATGTATGTGTGTGTGTGTGTATGTGTGTGTGTATGTATGTATGTACTGTATGTATCCTGCCAGAGAGGAACACGAGAGGTAAATAACTCTAGGGACACGGCTCTCCCTCCTTCAGGTGTAACTCTACAGGGTTTAATATAAGTCGTATATTTTGTATTCATTATTGTCATACTTAAGAGGTCGGTTAAACAGTGTGACAAAAGTGTGATGTTTGGGGAGGGGTGTAGTGTGTGTGTGTGTGTGTGTGTGTGTGTGTGTGTGTGTGTGTGTGAGTGTGTGTGTGTCCGTCCTCTATCGCGTCTGGACGGTCTGATGTCACTATCCACCGCTGCCACATCTATCCAGCTTTAACCTAAAATGAGTGTTGATAATTTATATAAACTCTTTCATTTACATCTTAATATAATTGTTTTTGTTTTGTTGCGTATTTCGATATTGTTTTCATTTCTAGCGGCTGTTAAAAGTTTCCATTAATGAACCTGTAAGAATAGACGAAGTAATATGTCCGGTATATGAAACAAAAGACAGTCTGTAACACGATATGAAACAAAAGACAGTCTGTAACACGATATGAAACAAAAGACAGTCTGTAACACGATATGAAACAAAACAAGGCAGGACAAGAATCACTAATCAAAACATCCATACAAAAAAACACACAATAAAGACCAAAACAAGAAAAAACACGAAAACAAAACATAACCGACAACTTTATTTCTGAAAATCAAAACAAGCTAAACTTAACTACCCTTCCAACACAAAACAGTTAACGTATATAAACAACATTTAATAACGGGATAAAACAACACAATCACCTACGTCAAATTTGAGTTATTAAAAGTAAATGATATAACTCAATAAACACAACGACTCTATTAAATTCTCTCGAAAAAATAAATAATGCAGGCTCGTGGTCCTCAATTTATCGGTAACTCCATAAATCAGTTTTTTTTTTATTAATTTGACATTTAAATCTCAGGTCTTTACTTAATTAATTACTAGTATGTATCGTATGTAAGATAGTATAGCTTGTTATAAAAGGATGAATAATTTTAATTTATTTTACCTGATCTTAAACGTCAAATCTTAAGCAGTTCTGTTGATTTTTTCACTTTAGGTTCATTGTAAACTTACACTTAAAAATTACAGGATATTCATACACGAAAAACACATACACACAAAACACAAACACACATACACAACACACGTACACAGAACACACACAACACACGTACACAGAACACACACAACACATATGAACGTAAAACATATACACATAATACACATGCCCACAACACACATAAACACACAATACTATAAAACATTTCGAAGGTCGTAATGTTATAATGTTCTCACTGCTTCTCAACAACTAAGGTCTTTAAGCACGTGACAAGGTGAGTAACTACACAACATGTCCATCAATAATTAAAATCACGAGAGAGAGAGAGAGAGAGAGAGGGGGGAGGGTTGTTAAGTATGTAGTGTTGGCATTACTAGAGTTATATACAGGCTCCCAAAAATGTATCCTCGCCCGGGCCTGCTGTATTTGGATATGAACACAAAACACGTACACAACAGTCTTGGTTAGGTTGGTTTTTCTGATTGTGAGTTGCATCTTTCGTTCTTTCTTCCTGCACCTGATAATCACCGTAATATCTGTAGTATACCACTAACTCTCTACATAATGTAATGAAATTGGATGAATTGTGATACCATATGCAAAACCAATAACGTAACCCCGCTGATTTATGCACCTTAGATACTAGTTCAGCCTCGGGATGGTGTTGCCAAATAGGAATATAACGTTACTATGTGTTCATGAACCGAGGTTACAATGGAATCGCTTCGAACGAAATATGAAACACTATAACCCGATATTATATGCATTTTCAAATATAGTAATTACAGGTGTATTCTGATGCCATATCCAATTACAATGACATTATGATTTACTGCATTTTGATATTATTTCTACCTCAGTTGATGAGGTGACAATTATGAATATAACGTATCATCTCATGATTCGTGCTGACAATGGAACCTTATCTGATACACACTACGAGACGATGTCAAGTACTACTACCATGGGATTGACAGTCACCATGGAGACACCACAGGCAACACGAGGCTACATTAATATCATTATATTATTCTACTAAAGATGGAGCACAGTGATTCACCATAATTACAACAAATGCCAGAAATAATAACTGGCAACCTCACACATACTAGGAAAGCAGACCTACCAACATAAGGCAGGAATCACAATTAGTGATCGGAAATATTCGTCCATTGTGACAAGTATCGTGAGAAAAAGGGGCCAATACTTTTTGGGGGAGAGTGTACAACTATCCCTTCTGGGATTTTGGCATAAGCAATCTACAGATCTAATAATTATATGACTCTTTTCTTCTATGACACTTACCTCGTAAATGTCAAATAACGGAGATACTGGATGTGTTTTATTCTCTTGTTATTATCACGTACGGGAGCACCTGTCACCACCACTTTCGAAAGATTTGTTTACAACCGACCCACTCGATCCGAACGGACTGTCTCGTTCACAAAAAAAAACGTAAAATTACTCCATGACGTTTCAAAAAAGTTGCTTTCATTGGTACCGGATATCAAAATAAGTACTTTCTTTATGGCAGAGGTTTAGCCCCCTGGCTAGGAAGTTAGGTAAGGTTAGGTCAGGTTCTATTAGGTGGGAAGCAACTCACGGATCTTCTACTAACACAGTCCATGAAATCAACTCAATCTGATATGGTACTCACGAAGCCATCACCTGCAGTCGTTCTTGGCCACTCACTGAGAATCACCAGGCACCGTCCGTAATCCCTCACTGGAGGATCACCAGGCACTGTCCATAACCTCACACTACACAGTACTGGACCTCCTGGCTCCTGCACCAAGAGGTCAGCGTTGTTACCTCTGAATCTTTATACACAGAGAGAACGACAACCTTAAATACAGTTTGTGTTCCAGCAAATACACCTTCACTTATTTTACTGTTTTCCTAATATCAACACAAATACATTTAAATCTTTTACTAATTTTCAGTTTCTTTTATTTTCACATTTTATTTTATTGTCTTATTATTCATGGTAAAGGAATATTTAATTTTCATTTACTGAAGCACGTGATATAAAAGTTATGTTTTTTTTATATAACTGTTTTTCGTATCATTTATAATTATATCGTATTTTTGTTGATTTGTTTTCTATGAGCAATGATCATTTGTCATTAAATATTTTAAGGTCTTTGTACTTTAGTTAAATGAATAATAATAATAATAATAATAATAATAATAATAATAATAATAATAATAATAATAATAATAATAATAATAATAATAATAATAATAATAATAATAATAATAATAATAATAATAAACTATCCCTATTCATAAACGCTTATGAATCCCCGTAAGTGCACTACTAAGCCACTTAAATACAGTATGTCGTCTGGCAGCGGTGTGTATGTGTGTGATAATTTGGGCAACGACTCCGGCAGTAGAGTATAGTAATTTAAATTCATAAGGAAAGGAAAGACATCAGATAAATAAATACAAATAAACATATGCATATTAATTTTATTGGTAAATCTATGTTTGTCTGCATAAAAACTTAAATAAATAATAATTAGGTATTAACCAGAAATAATGATATTTTGCTATATTCTTTCTTAATTCATCTACTTTATCAGTTACTTGGGAGAGATAAATGAACATGAAATAACTTACAAATTTGAAGAATATAATAATCAACAGAAGAATTGGTAATGAGATATAGACTAAGAGGGAAAAACAAATTATTATAATCAGTTCAGCGGTACGATAGTTTAGGAGAAAAAATGTTGCCAGAGTGAGATAACCTGACGCCACACTGATGACAGTCTAAACAGATACACTCTAAATACCTCACCAGATAACACCACTCACACAAATAGCTCAGTAGTAATGCTATAAATTTACTAGCAGCTGTATGTAATAATGTATAGTACCGAGATGTAAATAGCAAGTAGTACTGTAGAGGTATGAGTGTAGTCTAGCCGCTGAACTTCTGGTCCGAGTTGAAGAGGTAAGGCCCTGAACATGGCAACTGTGTACTCGAGTTCAAAGCCGCGGTTCTCCAAGTCGACGCTTCTGGAGTACTCGTCCGCGTCCGTCTTCACTTGCATGTAGAAGGGTGTCGAGTAACCTGGGTGGTGAAGCAAACTATTAAACTACGTCGAAGAGGAACTATGATTTATGACAATGTAAACAGCGTTATTGTTTTACCACGAAAGCTTGAGTTTGTTTATCTGACTGTGCTTACATATGTGTGAGTATGTATTCGCGCTATGAGTGAGGGAGTGTATGTGTATTTGTATGTGTCTGTGCTAAGTGTATGTGTGTATGTTGGCGTATGTGTATAAAGACATGAATAACGACAGACTTACTGACGATGGGCCCCTTGACGTAGTTACCAAGCGCCATGCCACAGAACCTGTCGTGGCTCCAGGGGTCGTTGTCTCCAGGGGTACGACTCTTGGGCACCATCACAGTCCGCCTGGCACCCCGTTGACCCATACTGCAGGGAGGTGAACGTAGGTCAGGAGGGATCATGTGCTACTGAAGGAGGAACAGAAATAACAGAAGAAGAGGAAGAAGATGATAAAGAGGAAGGAAGGATTTAGAAAGAATAACACAGGAGGATAACACAGGAGGATAACATCAAGTACATAGGGATAATTAGATCTCCATTGAAATATACTAAGACAAGTGAGGGAGAGATCCACTGTTGACTAATGTTTCAGTTCACTTGAGTTTACTTTCAAAATTTCGTCCTGTTGACCATAAACAATAACATAAAACAGATAAACACCGACTATCACACACACACACACACACACACACACACACACACACACACACACCAGGTTATCCTTCTCCTGGGTGCCGTTAAAGCCTCGCCCGTCAACATGAAGGACTCAGTACCCGTAGGAGTGTACATGATGCCACAGTAGCCCTCAGCCCCATGCACACACACATGGTAATCCAGATTGTTGAGGTGACCTGCCGGAGACACCAGACATCACCACCACATCACAAGATAAACAATTAGATGCATCACATTTATCACTGACCACCAAAATGTATTATCCACTATAGACGAGGAAACAAATGACGGTAGATTACGATTATTGGATTCTGGAGTCTATAGGTGTTTGTTTACATTAGTTTTGATATGCTGTAAGTCACTAGTAGAAGAGTGGACATATGGTTGTATTCTCTCTCCATTCTTCTCATTAATACTGTAACTTACCGGTCCACATGCGTCTGCCACAGGCCTTCTCGTGCCCCAGCAAGGGTTGTAGTCCAGCTTGGAACCTCCGAAGTTGAAACTCTTGATGGTCTCCCTCACTCCTACGTGGTACTGTAGACAACCCGTAGGTGCTGAACCAATGAGAGGAATGATTTAGTCGTGGTTGGGTTGGGTTGGTTGGGGTTGGGTTGGGTTGTTGGGTTGGGTTGGGTTGCTAAGGTTCGGTTTGGATGGTCGGGTTGCTGGGTTGGGTTGGGTTGCTGGGTTTCGGGTCGGTCGGGTTGTCTGGTCGGGTTAATGTTGGGTGGTTGTTGGGATGTCTGTCTGCTCGGTTCGGTTGGGTTGGTTGGGTTCGGTTGGGTTGGGTTGGGTTGGGTTGGATGGGTGTCTGGTTGCGGTTGGGATGGGTTGTTGTTGGCATTGGGCTGGTTGGCTAGATTAAGGTGGGTTAGGTTACGTGTGATGAGCATTGTTATCATACCTTCCCCCACCTTTATTACTCCTCTCATTTATGGTCATGGTGTGTCCCTTCTCGCCTTCTATATCCTTCTTTGTTCTCTCCGTCCTTCTTTTACCCTCACCACACACCTCAACAGGGTCTTCTCTCACCTATCCACTTGTTTATTCCCTCTTATCATCTCCCTCTCCTGTCCACTCTATCCTCCCGCCTTCTTTTGTCTCTAACTCCACATTCCACCTTGAAATTTTAACTCTCTTTTCTTTCATGATAATTATCCCCTCCATGTATCACACTCTCTCCTTCCTTCCTTCCTTCCTTCCTTCCTTCCTTCCTTCTTCACCCCTTTCGTTGACGCTTGACTCATTTTTCTTCATAAGCTCTTATTTACTAACTCCATTTAATACCTGTAGCATCATAAGGTCACAAGAACTACATCATCTTCCTGCTTTTGTCGACTCTCACCCCACCACATACATAAATATTTCCTCTTTTATCCTATTACCACTGAATCTCAACCTAAACCTAACCTAACCTAAACCTAAACCTAAACCTAACCTAACCTAAACCTAAACCTAACCTAATCTTCCTCTCAACCACAAAACCCACCCAATCTCCACGTTCATCTTGCGGTTAATGTTTTCGTTGTTAATTTAACTGTGCTGTTCTGTTATATTCACCTCTGGAGCTGGAGGTCTTGAAGTGGTCGTAAGTACAGTCACATGGGATCTGGTTGACACGCACCTTCCACCTTCTGTTGTCCTCCACTTCGTGCCTCCACTCCAGTCTATTAGTGGAGGTTATGTGGATAATGGGAAGGTGGATATACTGACAAGGTGAATTATTGTGGAAATAAAAACATAGAAGTTTTTTTGAAATGTAAAAATTATTTGACGATCTTTCTCTCTCTCTCTCTCTCTCTCTCTCTCTCTCTCTCTCTCTCACACACACCAACAGTACACGTCATCACCACAACATATACAGGAACTCACGGATAAGTCTCGCCAGTGACGTGGTCGACGACGTGTCCTACAGGCTTGGGCAGAATCTCTGAGATGAGGACGTGTAGGCTGGTGCTGGCCCGACCCGCCACCTCCACGTACACTGTTGGGCAGATACACGTCACCAACACCACGTCACCAACACCACTTCTCCAACACCAAGTCACCAATACTAGTTCTCCAACACTACGTCACCAACACCACGTCACCAATACTAGTTCTCCAATACATCACCAACACCACGTCACCAACACCACTTCTCCAACACCACGTCACCAATACTAGTTCTCCAACACATCTCCAACACTACGTCACCAACACCAATTTTTCAACAATACACTAACCAAGATAAAGTGATATAAGCTGAGGGGTCAATCATCAGGTGAAATAAGCTGAGTTGTCAATCATCAGGTGAGATAAGCTGAGGGGTCAATCATCAGGTGAGATAAGCTGAGGGGTCAATCATCAGGTGAAATAAGCTGAGGGGTCAATCATCAGGTGAAATAAGCTGAGGGGTCAATCATCAGGTGAAATAAGCTGAGGGATCAATCATCAGGTGAAATAAGCTGAGGGGTCAATCATCAGTGAAATGTTAAGGGGCAATCATTAGGTGTTATAAGCTGAGGGGTCAATCATCAGTGAAATAAAGCTGAGGGGTCAATCATCAGGTGAAATAAGCTTGAGGGTCAATCATCAGGTGCTATAAGCTGAGGGCCAATCATCAGGTGTTGTTGAAGCTGGTCAATCATCAGGGTGAAATAAGCTGAGGGTCAATCATCAGTGAAGCTAAGCTGAGGGTCCAATCATCTGGTGATATAAGCTGAGGGGTCAATCATCTGGTGATATAAGCTGAGGGGTCAATTATCAGGTGTTATAAGCTGAGGGCCAATCATCAGGTGAAATAAGCTGTCAATCATCAGGTGAAGCCGTTGAGGGGTCAATCATCAGGTGAAATAAGCTGAGGGTCAATCATCATGTGAAATAAGCTGAGGGGCCAATCATCAGGTGAGATAAGCTGAGGGGCAATCATCAGGTGAAATAAGCTGAGGGCAATCATCAGGTGAAATAAGCTGAGGGCAATCATCAGGTGAGATAAGCTGGAGGGGTCAAATCATCAGGTGAGATAAGCTGAGGGGTCAATCATCAGGTGAGATAAGCTGAGGGGTCAATCATCAGGTGTTATAAGCTGAGGGGTCAATCATCAGGTGAAATAAGCTGAGGGATCAATCAACTAATTCTCATATGATCTAAATTTCCTCCTTAAGACTTGTGGTGGCAGGAGTACACTGAGGTACTTACAATGTTGGCCGGTGTTGTCCCCACACAGGATAGGGACCGGCTCGTTGGCCCGCACCATAAACTGATCATTGTCACAGTTGCCATATTCCGGAGGCTGCAACATTAGCTCCAGAAAGTCCAGCCTGCAAGATCAACAATGTATTACTGTCTAATGAGGTTGCGTATTTGTTTTATTTACTTAAGTTGCCGTAGTCACCAAATGGGCATTATCTCTTTGTGTAGTGAGTAGAGGTTTAGGACAGAAAATTGGAGTTTAATGAGAATGAGAATTTAATGTGGTTACTCATAAAATTTCTCGAAACAAAGAAAACTAAAAATAACTTTAAATGATAGAAAATGATATTGTTTAGGTGTAACAATAATATATTGTTTCCTCACCTGACTTGACAGATAGGGACGTCACAGTCATGGGAGATGGTCAGTTCACAGTGACTTGACTCATTCTTGGTGGGTAACGGGTACTCTGAATTCTCGAAGTCGAATTCCAGGAAGGATACTTCTTCACCACACGTCACCACCACTGTCCAAGGGTGGGGGTCATTTAGACAGTAATTTAAAATGCACTCGTGAAACTACAGGTAAATCTTAATTCAGTTGAGCACGAGACTCCATTTTACGATCAGTTTCGTGAAAAAATGTTCGCAAAATATTCTACCAGTGCTTTTTCATAAGGTTTCAAGATAAATGATATATATTATATGAGTAGATAAATATGTAAATAAGCATAGATAATAAACTTGTGAAAGGGTCATAAAGTAACCAAGAACACAACACAGCAAGGATGAGGAGTATAAGCTGTACCTTCCTCGAGAAAGTATCTAGCGGAGAAGCCCCTACAGGTGTCGCCGTCAGGAGTGGACCTGAACTCCACGTAGAGGGTGTCCTTAGCGCTCAGGAACTCTCCCGGGATGTCGGTACCACATAGATGGACGGCGGTCGTGTCGTTGGAGAATCCTACAGGAGAAACACCGTCAGGAGGAGGCTGATAAAGAGATTCCTGACAAGGTTTATGATCTTTAATAACAGTTGAACGTAATTATATGAAAGACGCTACAGGAAATTTGAAAAAAAGACTATTTGAGGAGAAGGAATGACAGAAAATTATGAAACATGTATAAGAATAAATATAACAAATAAACAGTTAATGAAAAGTAGCAGACATAAAAGTAGCAGACATACTCCCTACGGAACACCAAACAAGTTCCAGCCATCAAGGTGTGTGTTTTAATTAACTAGTGATATACAGACTCACGTGACATTGGGGTTTGATGATGTGGTAATATATGGAAGGTAAATATAGTGTTGTTGACAGAGGTGATATATTAGACCAGGTGAAATGTGGTATCAATATATAACTTAATCTGATACTAGTGTAGGGTGATTGGTACTGACCTTGGGGATATAAGAGGTCACCCAATCACTGAGTCACTGACCTGTTGGTGACACGAGGAGGTAGTCGCCGTTACATCCTGGAGTTTTAGTCACTTCGAAATCATCAAAGGTCAAACGTACTCGCTTCCCCTTCCCGCCCTTCAGAGGTAGACAACAGATAGTGATGGAAATAGCATATTGAGAAAACGGAGGCTTCAAAGAAAATGACATTCAGTGAGTTTTTATGTATAACTTCAATAATACGACAAATCAATACAGTTTTTCACATGAAGAAACTTTTGTATTGTTCAAGTCACTATTTATACTTCAAGTGACACACAGTTGTTGTAGAAGTTGTAGTCATAGAAGCACCAGTGACACATATTATTATTATTATTATTATTATTAGGAGTAGTAGTAGTAGTAGTAGTAGTAGTAGTAGTTGTAGTAAAACATAGTATTAAGAGCAGCAATAGTAGCCATAGTAGTAGTAGTTACAGTAGTTACCCACCAGGATGGTCCACACACAGTAGAGGCCGTTCTCGTATTGGTCAGGGTAGTCTGGTGTGGTGATGACGCCCTCACTGGCCAGCTCCCCGTCGATCACCGCGCCACAGTCTACAACAACAACCAGTCTCTCAGTACTCTACAACCACAAGAAGAAGTCAGTCAGTACTCTACAGCCTCAACAGCAACCACAGTCATTAGTCTACAACCACAGTCAATAGTCTGTAACCACAAAAATAACTTGACAAACAAACGGATCTTTATAAAAAAAATCACTCACCCTTAAATTTATCAGTTACAAGACCTTGATTTATTTTTATAGAGGCAAGAAATAATTTACATGTGCTTCAAAGTAGGAATATTGAGTGTCTTCTTATAGATGGGTTACAGTAAACGGTCCGGAAGTGTAAGAGGAACTACTGGTTAAACACTGAGGCGTTGAGAGTCTTTTAGTTGGTTGATTGTAATTTTTGTTGTCTGGGGATTTTTACGTAGTTATACTCTGTTGTCTGGGGATTTTTACGTAGTTATACTCTGTTGTCTGGGGATTTTTACTTAGTTATACTCTGTTGTCTGGGGATTTTTACTTAATTATACTCTGTTGTCTGGGGATTTTTACGTAGTTATACTCTGTTGTCTGGGGATTTTTACGTAGTTATACTCTGTTGTCTGGGGATTTTTACGTAGTTATACTCTGTTGTCTGGGGATTTTACGTAGTTATACTCTGTTGTCTGGGGATTTTTACGTAGTTATACTCTGTTGTCTGGGGATTTTTACTTAGTTATACTCTGTTGTCTGGGGATTTTTACGTAGTTATACTCTGTTGTCTGGGGATTTTTACTTAGTTATACTCTGTTGTCTGGGGATTTTTACTTAGTTATACTCTGTTGTCTGGGGATTTTTACGTAGTTATACTCTGTTGTCTGGTGATTTTTACGTAGTTATACTCTGTTGTCTGGGGATTTTTACGTAGTTATACTCTGTTGTCTGGGGATTTTTACATAGTTATACTCTGTTGTCTGGGGATTTTTACGTAGTTATACTCTGTTGTCTGGGGATTTTTACGTAGTTATACTCTGTTGTCTGGGGATTTTTACGTAGTTATACTCTGTTGTCTGGGGATTTTTACGTAGTTATACTCTCGATTTCAAAGTGATTCCGTTTCTGTAAATCTAACTACGGCTTGACGATGTTTCTTTTCCTCTGATTGTGGGGAGTGATGAGAGATGGTGAGGTCGCGTTAGTATCTACGTGGTTGGTAAGATCATTCAGGTTATTTGGGGATATGTGTTTAGTCTAGGTACCTAGTGTCACTCCTCCGCCAAGCTGTTCCTCTGAGTCAAGTGAGAGGAGTAGTTATGTGTGTGTGCGGTAGTGAAGATAAGCAGCTGTTGTAGTGGTAATGGAGATTGTTGATTACCTAATTAACTTCTACCACAGGGACGTTTTGTAAAGACACTTACTTGATATGCCGGTGCTGGTGGTGGTAGGCTGTGTGGTGCTCGTTGTGGGAGATGTGGTGGTAGTTGTGGTAGATACGGTTGTAGTTGTGGAAGTGGTGGTGGTGGTGGTGGTGGTGGTAGGTGGTGTTGTGGTCGTTGTGTGGGGTGGTTCTGATGGTGGTATAGTGGTCTTACTTGGTGTGGCTGTGGTGGCAGTGGGTGTGGTGGCTGCTTCTGTATGGTTAGCTTCTTCAGAGGAAATGAACTCAACTACGATGTTTCCTGGTTGCGTGTCTTGTGAAATCCCGAGGGAGATCTCTTGTTTATTGTACAGCTTGATGAGGGAATCGTTCTCCACCACCCGGGCCGCCTGTCAGGGAACCCAGTGGGACATTTCCGTTAAACAACTCTTTTTTTACTGTCTCTTCCACACACACTTCCGTCTAAAGATTCATTATTAACTACTAAATACTATGTGAAAGCATAATGGTTCCACGTCTTTTGTAGGAAGTTCTAACATAAAACAAGAGATATGTTCCTTCAGAAATAATTTACGTAAGGAGGATTTAGGGAACATGATATGATTTAGTGCAAGGTTGCATAACTGAGATATTTACGAAGATTTTTTTTCTCTTGGTTGATATATATTGCTTGATGAAAGGATTAAACATGATAAATCCTGAAATACACTTAATTATTTTACTAGATATTATTTATAGTAAGTAAATAAATAGAATGTAAATACAATCATTTTTAATTACCATTGATAATAAAACTGAGCTAAAGATATCAAGGAACAAAATATAATCTGATGGAGCCCCACACACACACACACACTTACCTGGGACACAGCCATCAACACCACCCATACCAGCAGCAGTAATAGTCTGTGCATCATCTTGTTGACCTTCCTGCCTGACACACCTCTGTCCTCAACCTTCCGTCTTCTCATACACGTCTTCAAAAGTCAACTTCACCTTTAGTTTTTGCCCAGAGCTTTCTATATCCTCTGGTTGTAGTCCTAAATCTTTCGTTTTAGCTTTCTGTGAGTTTCTGTCTTTGTGGATTTATTGTCTGACGTCCAGTGATTCAGAGGGAGTTGTGATTATAGCGGCCGTGACAGAGGACATCTACAGTAAATCAGGGGCGGAGTACCTGCAGGCTGTGACAGAGTACTTGGAGGATAGGGGGCGGAGTACCTGCAGGCTGTGACAGAGTACTTGGAGGATAGGGGGCGGAGTACCTGCAGGCTGTGACAGAGTACTTGGAGGATAGGGGGCGGAGTACCTGCAGGCTGTGACAGAGTACTTGGAGGATAGGGGGCGGAGTACCTGCAGGCTGTGACAGAGTACTTGAAGGTTAGGGGGCGGAGTACCTGCAGGCTGTGACAGAGTACTTGAGGTTGGGGCAGGAGTACCTGCAGGCTGTGACAGAGTACTTGGAGATGGGGGCGGAGTACCTGCAGGCTGTGACCAGTACTTGGAGGATAGGGGGTTGAGTACCTACGGCTGCGACAGAATACCTGGAGGTTGGGGGGGCGTCGTACCTGAGGGCTACGACAGAGTACCTAGACATCGGGGGAGTAGAGGAGCCTCGGGCAGGTACTCAGTGTATATATACCCAATCATCATACGGAAGTAAATGACACAGGTGGAGAAGTGATGATCATTACCCGGGCCACGTCAGGGTGCTGGGTGATACACTTAACCAGGTAGTTACTGGTTAATTAGTTGAATTAGTATCAGGTGAGCGTCAGTCAAACAACTTACATTTTCATTACAACTTCGCAGGTTATGATGTTGCTATGTTGTTATGACTGAGTAAAGTTTTGACTGTAGAATAAATATTGAGAGAGGGAGAGAGAGAATGACTCCCAAAGAAATGTTTAACCACGTTAGCAACATTTTTGTTCGTCACAAAAGTAATGATTATTTTTACAGGTAAATTAAGCGCAACACCTGAGTCACCCTGCGGCCATTACACACACACACACACACACACACACACACACACACACACACACGGTAAATTTATAAACAACGCATCAACTAAATTAACCAAGACAGATTTCAAGATTATCCTAATCTAACCTAACCTCACCTAACCTTGATCCCTGGTTCCTTGCTTCTCAATATAAAGTTAGGATTTTCTATAAGCTGAAATAACAAGTAGAGAATGCAGAGTGAGAGAGACGAAGAGTTATGAATTTAATTTCCACATACAACAGACTAGTTAGCTGGGACAATGTTAAAGAAAGTACTACTGACGAAGGTACTGCTGACGAAGGTGCTACTGACGAAATTACTGCTGACGAAGGTACTATACTGACGAAGGTACTGTACTGACGAAGGTACTATACTAACGAAGGTACTATACTGACGAAGGTACTTTACTGATGATAGCACTACTGACGAAGGTACCATACTGACGAAGATTGCTATACTGATGATAGCACAACTGACGAAGTTACTACTGACGAAGGTTCTGCTGACGAAGTTACTGCTGACGAAGGTACTATATGACTGAGGTGCTGTACTGACGAAAGTACTATACTAACAGAGGTACTATACTGACGAAGGTACTATTGACGAAGGTACTATACTGACGAAGTGCTTTACTGATGATAGCACTACTGAGGTACTACTGACGAAGGTACTATACTGACGAAGGTACTATACTGTCGAAGGTACTACTGACGAAGGTATTACTGACGAAGGTACTATACTAACGAAGGTACTATACTGACGTAAGTACTATACTGACGAAGGTACTATACTAACGAAAGTGCTATACTGACGAAGGTACTACTGACGAAGGTACTATACTAACGAAGGAACTACTAACGAAGTGCCTATACTAACGAAGGTACTACTGACGAAGGTACTATACTGACGTAGGTACTATACTGACGAAGGTACTACCTACGAAGGTACTGCTGACGAAGGTACTGCTAACCAACGTACAACTGACGAAGGTACTACTGACGAAGGTACTACTGACGAAGGTTGCTACTGACGAAGGTACTACTGACGAAGGTACTACTGACCAACGTACTACTGAACAACGTACTACGAAGGTGCTACTGACGAAGGTACTGCTGACGAAGGCCTAAATAGAGAGAATGTTTGTAAAAGTATAGAAGAATGTTAATATTTGTATAACAGCCCAATTATATGGTTGTTGATATCCGTTGATGACACAGTTACAATATTGTTTCATCATCATCATTATCATTATGTCATTTGTTACCATTATCATCCTTATTATCATCATTATCGTCATCATCATCATCATCATCATCATCATCATCATCATCATTATCGTCATCATCATCATCATCATCATCATCATCATTATCATCACTGTAAAACATTGCAAATAATTAGGATCTAATCCCTTTTCTCACAACCCCAAGGTGTGTGTGTGTGTGTGTGTGTGTGTGTGTGTGTGTGTGTGTGTGTGTGTGTGTGTGTGTGTTTGGTTTTTTTGTTTGTTTTGTGTGTGTGTGTGTGTGTGTGTTTCAGGGTGATCATAGTTTCCTCACCTGCCTCTAATTACACTCTATTGCGCCATTAAGTATGATGGTGCGTGACTGTGGCCTTGTTGGTGATAAATGGAGGGCGGTGATGGAGAGAGGGAGGGAAGGGTGGAGAGAAAGGTTGTGAAAAGGTGTGCCGACATTGATGAAGGTATAGGAAAGGAGGAGGAGGGGAAAGGTGAGGAGGGAGGGAAGGAGGGAGAGATGAGGGCAATGGAGGGGCAGTGGATGGAGGGAGTTACAGGTCTTATCACTTATGGTCTTAATGACGGAAATTAACATATTCCTCTCTCTCTCCCCACGAGAGACAGTATTGGTGAGGACTGGAACAAGAATGTCGCAGGTGAGGTAATTGGTGCGTCAGCTGGTTACTAAAACCTTACCACGGCTGGACGCACCAATAGGCACCCTCCACCCAGTCACGTGACAATAACAAACGGATCGAAAGGAGGAGGAGTGGGGGGTGTGTGTGGGGTGTGGTGTGGGGGTGTGGGGGTGGGGGTGTGGGGGTGTGTGGGGTGTGGGGGTGGGGGAGTCCACCATGATACACCTTGTGAAATACTCTATATACATATGGTTGAGTTGTGGTTAAGCAGGTGTACCATGCCAGTCGCTTGACACACTTCATTGACACTTTTGGCACATATACAGTTTATAGGTTAAGGCTGTACCATAACTATAGCTTTAGGACAGTACCTCTTACTTACGTTTTAGGGCAGTACTATAGCTTTACGACAGTACCTTAACTATAGCTTTAGGAGAGTACTTTAACTATAGCTTTAAGGTAGGACTTAAACTGGAGCTTTCGGGTAGTACCTTAACGATAGCTTTAGGACTGGACCTTAATTATAGCTTTAGGGCAGTACTAAAACCTTAGGACAGTGCTTTACATGTAGCTTAAGGACAGTACTTTAACTATAACTTTAGGACAGTATCCTACACATAGCTTAAGGAAAGTACCTTAACTATAGCTTTTGGCCAGTACTACAGCTTCAGGACAGTACCTTAACTTCAGATTTAGGGCAGTATCTTAACTTTAGCTTTATGGCACTCATATACGTTTAGGACAGGACGTTAACTCTAGCTTTAGGGCAGTACCTTAACTCTAGTTTTAGGGCAGTACCTTAACTATAGCTTTAGGATGAGTTAGCTTTCCCTCTTGTTACGGCGTCACACTTCAGAACATCAATACAAAATTACTGGATATAATTGTTCTAAAGATCCGACCCTCACTTTCACCAGGACGGGTGTGACTGTGTGGTGGGTGTGACGGTGTGGCGGTGGGGGGAGTGTGACGGTGTGTTGGGTGTGACGGTGTGGCGGTGGGGAGTGTGCGTGTGTTGGGTGACGTGGGGGTGATGGTGTGGGAGAGGGGGACGGTGGGGGTGACGGTGTGGGATTGTGTGGTGTGGCGGTGTGGTGGGTGTGACGGTGTGGGGTGGGGGGGACGGTGTGGTGGGTGACGGTGTGGGGTGTGATGGTGTGGGAGGGTGTGACGGTGGGAGGGTGACGGTGTGGGGTTGTGTGGGTGGGGTGTGGTGGGTGGACGGTGTGGTGGTGTGGGGGACGGGGTGTGACGGTGTAGGAGAAGGGTGTGACGGTGGGTGACGGTGGGGGGAGGTATGACGGTGTGGGGGAAGGTATGACGGTGTGGGTGAGCAGTAATATATATATATATATATATATATATATATATATATATATATATATATATATATATATATATATATATATATATAAAAGAGAGAGAGAGAGGAAAAACAAAATAAGAAGGAAGGAAGAAAAGTCTAAATAAGGTACAGTAGTGACACCGTCAGTCACCTGCCCTATTAAGGTATACTCCTAGGTGAGTCTCAGGTGAACATCGTAAATCAACACTCAGAAACACGATCAAGTCACCTGCCAATTACTCCAAACTCCTACAGTCCTTATAAGTAACCTAACCTAATCTAACCTAATCTAACCTAACCTAACCTAGCCTAACCTAACCTAACCTAACCTAACCTAACCAAACCTAACCTAACCTAGCCTAGCCTAACCTAACCTAACCTAACCTAACCTAACCTAACCTAATCTAACCTAACCTAACCTAGCCTAACGTAACCTAACCTAACCTAACCTAACCTAACCTAACCTAACCTAACCTAACCTAACCTAGCCTAACCTAACCTAACCTAACCTAACCTAACCTAACCTAACCTAACCTAACCTAACCTAACCTATTGATCTTTTCACCTGTTATGTATCTGTGGGTCGAGTGAGTTGCATCTCCGTCTGTTGTGATCTGACTGTAACTGATTTTCATAATGAGGAATTATTATTTTTTTATTATTATTACCAAGTGAGGTTTAAATATTCATCCTTGTTTTATAATTATCTGTCTTATGGGTTTATTTTGTTTCTAATTCTTTTTTTTTAATGATATTGGTGATATTTTTTTTATGGTGTTCAGAACTGAGGCGAAATTTACAAGTGAAGAAGGTTTGGTTTGGTTTAGGTTAGGTTATCATCACTATTATCTTATGTACGCTGTGGGTTTTCATCTCATAGCTGTAACTTTCTACAGCAGGAATGAATGACCGAACCAAAACTGTGTCAGTGTTCGATCTGGCGTTGATATCCAGAATGGCGTCTTAGTTTGAGATCCCATCAAATACCTGTACTTTACTACCTACCATGAGTGTCTATAAACCTCAAAATATAATACAGTACTGGCTATAAAAGTCCCAAATATTACCACAATATCATATACACTAGACGTGACAGTATTCGCACCAAACCAAACCAATACAACGACACTTTTAACCTGTAGTGGTCGATGACATCACTTAACCCACGAGAACGCCCTGGATTTT